GAGCCTCCTCTAGGCTCCCCCCAACTTTGTGTCATCTGCAGACTTGCTAATGGTGCACTCAATCCCCTCATCCAAATCATCAGTACAGATATTAAAGAGCACTGGGCTCAAGACATGAAGTGTGTGCTGCCAGTGCAGCTAATGCCTGCAGCTCCCTGTGAAACTCATTGGAGGAACGGATGGTTTCCTTGCTTTGGAAGCTTTATTGGCCAGTGGCCTGGTGGATTAGCTGTACTGTGCAGCTGACACAGCACATTGGGCTTCTTGCCATCTTGTGTCATTTTAGATGTTTAATGTGAGCCTAGGGGGTTGGGTTGTTTTACATATAGGGCTTTTTTGGGCTTACTTACACATTTTTTCCTGCTAGAACACTGCCCTTTCTGTCCTGCTGGCTGCCTGCAGCTTTGCTGATGATACCCTGGAGGCAGAACTTCAGGCATCTGTCTTGGGAGTGCTTGGTCAGTTCTGGACTTTTCTCGAGGCTAAGCAGGTAGGAGAATTTGCTGCTCCAGTGGTGAAAACATGATGTCTTTTTGAGGCCAGTGCTGTTCCATCATGTGTTGGTTACTAACTTGTTTTGCTTGGATTGGACCGTTCTGTAAAGCACAGTGTAACTGTGCTGCCCATCTGCTCTCAGCTGGTTTGTGCCTTGGGCAGGTGTGTGCTCTGGGAAGCAGAGTTTGAATTTCCTGTTACATACGTGGCTCCTTGTTGCTCCATCTGTTACTCAGTATCAGGTTCAGACTTGCTTAAGGAGAAGTCTGAAATACCTCATTCTGATTCATACCAGTTACAAACTTGGCCTATTTTAAATGCTTATTAGAATGTGAACAGAACTCAGTGATTTAATTAGTACACAAAGCTTAGAATATGGAAAACCTCATAGACAGTCACATTCCTCCCAGATTTGAGAACACAGGGGTCAAGCAATGCCCTTGTGACCATGGACCTGGTCCTGGCTGCAGCAAAGAAAAAAGAATTGTCCTGGTTCATGCTCTGGATTAAAAAAACAAAGTTTGATTGTGGGGGTGAAGAACAACCAACAATGTGCCTCTTCAGAGGTCTCTTCTGACCTCAGCTCTTCTGTGCAGACATTTGGCACCTGATAAGTGAAGAGAAATAGTTCAGATAACTTTTAGCTGCTTATTTTAGTGAGATGAGGGATAAGAAATCAAACAAAAAGGTCTTGTCAAATATGACTACCTAGAAATACTCTTAGACTGCCTTAACATTTTCTTCTGTTGCTTAACATTGTGGTGTTTTATATGTGAGGTTAAGCTAACAATTTTGGATGCTGTTGTAATTTGAAATTCTTTCTGAAATAGTTCTTCTGTAAGTTAAAGTCAATGTTACTGACATCTTGTACTCTCTTGAAGGTCTCAGATGAGCCATGTCTCCAGCAGACACTGTGTTTATTGCTTCACCTTTTGGAATTTTTTGTCCAAGCATTAGATGCTCAACTGATTACTCAGGTAAAAAAATTCCACACAAACACAAGCACCTTCTCATGAAAAATTTACTTCATGAAAACCAAGTCCTTTGTGATTTGCTGGAATTTCAAAGGAGTTATTTCATGGTCTGGACTTATTTCTCAATACATGGAGGTTTCTAATTTTACTTCTTCCTTCATTACTCTCCTGGCCTTTAAACGAGGCACATAGCATTTTGGTTAGTGCTGCTTTTGAGAATCCTGTTATTCTGTTACAAACTGAGATACATGGACAGGCTCCTTTCTTTCTGAAATGCACACTACAGCTCTGTACTAGCCAGTTTGACTGGAGGTGCAGAACATACCTCCTTTTGGTTTAAGTCTAGTTTGCTAAACTCAAGGTCCTTGGATTTAAAGATCATACAGATCAATTTTCACCTGCAGTCTCTCTGATAGAGCTTTGCTGTTTGTTTCCCACAGGTATTTGCACTGCAGTCCTCCCTCTTCCAGCTGGATCCCCCAGATCATGTTCGTCTAGCCATGGTGGATTTTCTCTCTTCCATGGGAAAGGTGTTTATACCACAAGAAGCACAGGTAAATGTCATTGTGGCTTTAGTGAAACCATCTTCAGTCTTTTGATGAAAAGATCCACCTTTAATTTAAATACACAGTTAAAGGATCAGGTTCATTGAACACATCCAGGAGTGCCAGGACATTGTCATCTTGGAGGCTTCTAATGGCCTATGGCAGGTTTGTTTTTCATCCAGACATATTGAGTGCATGCAAGATGCTTGGCTTATTCACTTGCTTGTTGCTTCTCACCAGTGAGAAAGGACTGACATTTGAACCTCCAAGAAGGACAGAATATGTCACCTCTCTTACATCATTTGTTTGCCAGACAGGGCAGTAGCATTTACCAGATCTGTGCCTTGGCGTTGGAGTGATTATTGAATCATAAATCAGGACAGTGACATGCACAACTCCTCAGAACTGATGGATGTTTGTTCCTCTTGCAGAGGCAAGTTGTGCCCCAGCTGTCAAGTCTGTTTGCATCTCTGCTGGCTGACCAGACCTGGCTGATTCACCAGCACACATTGGAGGCTTTCACACATTTTGCAGAGGTGAGCACAGCACAGCTCTCTTCACTTCTATTGTACTGAAATGTTTGCTGCTCCTCACTGGGCAGTTTGGATCATAGTATTGCAGATCAAAAGTAATGAGAGCTAGTGCAGTTGGAAGTGATTTCAAGGAGCTGGAAGTGAAGGAAGATTAAACCCTGGTTGCTTAGATTGGTTGCAAGAGGGAAGGAGCTGTCACAGAAACATCTTTTACTTTGTTCCCATGTAAACATAAATGTACTGAACTTCTACTGACATTTGACAGGAAACAAGCCACGAAGATGTTGTTCCTCGGTGCCTTAATTCTGAAGAAGCTAAGAACAAAGTTGTTAATTTTCTGGCTAAGGTATGTATGTTACTGAACCACTTTACTGCTTTCTCAGTTGATGCTGTACACCCATTGTAAGCAGTACACAGCTTGTGTCTACACCTGCACCGTGTGCATGGCCATTAAAGCAGTTTAAAATAAATTGGTCTGTCAGTTGGGATCTACTTTTCTACTTTAATCAGCAGAATTAATAACTGCCATTCTGGTGCACATTGCTCATCCAGAACTTCCCAGCTCTGATTTAAATGCTTTGCTTTTTCCCTCCTCAAACAAAAATACATTACATTGCACAGTTATTGCTGAGAAACGTTACCTGTTGAAAAGACAGGGATTTCATAATTTGGTTGGTGTGATCTCCTCTCCCATTTCTCTTGGCTCAGTTTCTGAAAGCTAAATGAGTGTGCATGAAGCATCTTAGTCCTTTTTGCATACTAGAAGAAATCCTCTTAAGAGCAGACAGCTTCTGCAGAACACTGATGGTGGGAAAGAGAGTGTTGTGCTGTAACCTAAGGATCTCTAGATGAGCAACTTTTGACCAGCAGACAATTTGCAAAAAGGCTGGTAACTGCCAGTGATGCTAAACCAAAGTTGTAGATAACTTCGATCTCCAGCTTAGAAGAATGTGAGAAATGATATCACTTTAAACTGCACTTTAAAATCTCTCCCTCCCTCCCTTTTGTTCTGGTGTACAAATGAGGCCTGTGAAGGTTGGTAATGCTCCTTTCCTTGGCTTAGATAACTCTACTGTGGCTTTCTCCCTAGACAAGGCAGGTACAAGAGACAACAGAAGCACGAAGAGAACGCATGAAGCAAGAAAGGATCACCTGGAGTGCACAGGCTTTGAAAGTGGACCAAGAACCAGAGTCAACAGGAGAGGTATGTGTGCTTCTTTAAACTATCTCAGCCCTATTGTCCATTTCTGTCACTTCTGGGGAGTCTCTGAAGAGGTTCAAGATGGTCTTGCTGCCTCCATACTCTAAAAAAAAAGTCACGTGCACTCCTGGCCCTTAATGTTATCACATTATTCTATCATTATCATACATTCAGGTATCCCTGTGGCTCTGTACTGCCTGCCAGGCAGCAAGAATTCTCACAGGGCAGGGGAGTCTAGCAGCTCTGTTCCAGCCAAGGCTGCTCTTGCATTTGGATGAAGACTGATCACTTCCATAAGCATTAAAGTGATGTTTCATGTTTACTTCAATTTGCAGCCTCTGGCCAAAAGAGCCTGTCACCCTCCCTCTGAGGAGCAGTACAAGTCTGCAGTAGGCACGATGGAGGGGGCAGTGGAGGCTATGAAGCTGCTGCTCCAGAAAGGGTCCCCACCAGCATGGCTTGCAGTGAAGCTGGAGGTGCTGCACACAGCCATAGCCTCCCTCAGAGACAGTGCACGGTAAGGTGCTCCAGGGGACCTGGAGACAGTGAGCCAGCTCACCTCCCTGGTGGGAGGGAAGAGGTGCCCTTGGACCACGAGTGTTGGAGAAGAAGACTGTGACACAGGGCAATACTGTACATATGCCAAAATGGACTGAGGTGTGGGATGTTGGCCTGTGTTTCCTAGGAACTGGCAGCAAGGGCTGATGTGTTTTAATGGACACTTTTGTGCATTCAAGCTGTCAGTTTGTATATTGCCAGGGTATAGCTTGTGTTCTACTGTGTGGTGATAAACATCTCTTGAGACTGTATTCTGAATACTCAGAGGTTTGAATCTGTTGTAAAAATTAACAGTACCTTGTTCCTCTCACTTAGAGGTGACCAGGGAGTAGGTGTTTTTACCCTGATTTTAAAATACACTCAAGAATAAAAACTTCAGGCTCTATACTGTTCTCTGAACATACCTCTGCTGCTGGTGTCACTCCACACTAGGTCATCTTTTAAAAATAACCTTTATTGGTCACAGTTAAGAGCAGAATGTGGTGCTTGAGCAGTTTGGGGTCATTTACTGCACAGTTCCTAGCACCTCTTGTGCCATCCACTGCCAGAACTACACAAACAGAAATAAATAAGGTGAGTAAACTGTACATTCATCTTAAAATAGTCTCTTAGCTAGAAAGTTAAAAGGAACCATTTCTAAGGGCTTTACTGGGGAGGGAAAACAAAGGAAAAAGGCACATTAACCAAGGAACTCAGTGTGACTTTGATTTATTGTCATCAGTTTCTCGGGGCAGGGATGAGTTCTGGAACAATTGCTTACAGCACTCGTGGCCTCCAGCAGCACATCAGCACCATCACACCCCTCACGCTGTTCCTCTCTCCAGAGCAGTGGCACACACCACAGCTGGGCATATTGCTTGAGTGCAGGCCTCACCCCTGCAGGTTTTGGCACAGGTTGGGAAGGAGATCAGGCCCCCTGGGATCTTGCTGGCTGTGCAGCAAGTGCTTTCCTTCTGGCAAAAGCAGCGCTGAGGTACTTATCCATTGCACGGGGAAGCAGTGACTCCTCTTACAGGATCCAACACACCAGAAATTGCCTTTGTCTCTTTCAGTCCCATTACCAGTTCGTATCATCTTCCCAGTTCAACTCCTCTTCCTCACCCCAGCCTGCAGCTTCAGCCTAGAATCACATAAAATTATCAACAGTTAGGCACATGGACTGTGCTTGTGTGTTTAGCACACCCCCAGGAGCCAGGCAGGAGCCTGTGCAGCATGCAATGGCCTAAAGCCAAAAATGAAGTGTCAGTATTTGCAGCTTTCAGGCTCAAAGAACTTTGAACTACACCAGGAAACACCTTAAAGATAAAAATAAACTTAATAGGAGAATCTTACATTTTTTTTCTTCAAATTAAAGCAAGAACTGTTTGTACCAAACCCACTTTCCATTAAAAAATGATGCAATAAACTAGATGATTTCTTTTCCCCTAGGAAACAGCTGCTTTCCTGCTGTATTCTAACACCCAGTTTGATCTCATCCACCCAGTAAGGCAGCACTGAGTGCCTTCCTCTCAAACTGGGGTTGAGATCATGACAGTACTTGTGTCCCAGGACACTGTGCCATGTTCAATTGGCATAAACAACTTCAGTTTCCATCCCAGGCTTCTCTCCCTATGCTCCCTGCTACCCTTGGGGTAGCTCTCTTGAGGCTGAATGAGCAAAACAACTCAAAGTCAACACCTATTCCCTCATGGTTACATGTTCATGTGGCAGTGGTTTGACTACTGCCTCCCCTCCCAGGAAAAAGCAGCATTTCTCCAGAGCCTATGTGATGGGACTAGAGGGATTTAACTGCTTACTTTTAAAAGCAATTTTATAACTGTCCTGGTTCTCAGAAATAGAGAAATGTTCCAGCTATTCTTCCATGAAAACAAAGCACCCAGAAAGCTTTCCTCTAATCCAGAGGTTCTGGTTTCCTGGTCCTTAGTTCACAATGCTATTACGTTTTCCTAGAGGAGCCAGAAGAAACACTTAAGTCTGAGCATTCTCTCTGTGCTTGAAAGCTCCTTCTGTTTGTGCACAGGGCCATATGCCCGTTCAGCAGCCAAGACCCAGCTTTGTCTCACCTGTCTGACAACCCAAGACTCTCCCTAACGAAGTGTAGGATTCCTGCATTCAGGATACAGCAGCACGGAGCAAAAGCTGGAGCTAAAACTCCTTGGTTTAGTACTTTTAGTAGTGTAGAAATCAAGTCCATCCCCTTGCTGTTTGCTACCATAATTCTCTTGCTGCTGTATCAACAGCCCACTGAACTATCTGGTGGCTGCTAAGATGCACCAGTGAGAGCTCAGCACCTTGGATTCACAGGCAAAGACTCATCTGTAGAACCATGTGCTGCTGATCCCTCCTCAGGTACCCATCATCCAACTGAGGAGCCAGTTGGCTAGAGCACTGTGTGCTATGGGTGTGCTTGAGATCCTCTCAGGTGTGCAGTCACCTACACTCCACTGCCTGCAGCCTCTTACCTCAATCGCATCAGCTGCTGCAAATTTGGATGAGAACAGCACATTCTGGGAGGCACCTTCTCTGCTGGACACACCACCAGAGTGAGTGGGAACAGCTTCTGTCCTGGGCTCAGGTAAAATCAAGAGAGCAGAAGAAGGTTTAATGTCTGGGATCATGTCAGCAAACCAGTCCAGCTCAGGGTCCTGCACAGGTTTCCTCTTCACTTTGATCGTGAATTCTTCTCCCAGGCCAGACTCTGATGAAGACTTCAACCTTTCCTGAAAGGTTGTTTTTGGCAGCACAGTTTCTCCCAGTTGTTCCTGGTGATCCCATTTGTCATTGCTCCAGCTGTTCCCAGGGCAGGACTTTGTGGGAGGATTCAGTCTGAGGCTTTTGAATTCTTTGCTCAGTTGATGGGTACCTGACAAAGGTCCTGGCCTTTCAACTGCATCAGCTTGTGTCACAGTGAGGCAGTTTCCTGAGGACAGTTTGGGGCTGGGGCTCCTGGGCTCAAAGTCATCCCAAGGCTTCTCATCTACATCATGACCAGCAAAGTAAGGTCCCACACTGCCCCGCAGCTCTCGGGGCTGAATCTGAATGTTCACAGTTTTCTCAGTGTCTGTCTCCTCTGGCTCACTCCAGTCTGGCCACTCCTCTGCTGGCTTTTCAGAGGTAGTCAAAGAGCACCTGCTGCTCCCCCGTGCATTAATGCTCCCAGGAACTCCATTCATGGGGGGCTGAGTGCCTTGCTCACCTGTGGAAGACAAATGTGTTACATACTCATTTCAACAGAGCAAAGTGCAGAGATGGAGGTGTGCCCAAAACTCCCTGGCAGCACCTGGCATGGGAACAAACCAGTCATTGACTGGAAAGATGCTGCAGTGCCAAGCTCCTCTTGGATTACAAAGTGTGGATACCTTCCTCCTTGCTAAGGTTGGAATCCACCTCAAAGCCCTGGGTGAAAGGTCAAAGTCAGGTGACTGAAGAAAGGCCATGGAAGGAAACAGAGTCAGCTCTGACTGTCAGAACGAGCTGAGCTGTGAATCCTGTGCTTGCAGAACTGTGGGAGGGGTGGAAGCACAGCACAGAACCTGCTGTAAGGAAACACAAATTCAAGGCCTGACAGCCAGGCTGTATGTCAGCTTCCCAAAGAGCTATTCCCTAGGCTGTCAAAAGTCACACTCTCCTGCCTTCACTGTTGCCTTCCTTGGTTCACTGAATCCTTCAGATCAGCACAAGAGGAAAATTAACATCTTTTCAAGCAACACTTGCTTTGTGGAACACTTGGTTTCAAAGAAGGAAGCACTAGGGCTAGGTTTTACCTGTCTTTAAAGCCAGTGGATTGTCTTGTCGCACAGAAAGCTTCTTGGCAGGTGCATTTCCAGAGATGGGAAACAAGCTGGAACTGTTCTTCAAGGGCCGAGAGGTTTGATTTCTCTGATTGCTCACAATGTGACTAGGGGAATCTGCAGGGATGAAAGAAAACAAAGGACACAAGTCCACAAGGTGTGTTGTCAATCTTAGCTGAAACTGCCTGCAGCATTGGAATGTTCTTATTTTCAACACTGGAGCTTGGCACAGCATTCCAACAGCTGCACCTCCTGATCCATACAGATCACAATACTCCTCTGTTCCCACTGCCTGCAGCTCTTGCCAGTACAAAGTTTAGGCAACTGTACATGGTCAGTCTTTGTTATGTTCTTTCAAGAAATACACAATGAACAAAGTGATTATGATCAGAACAGATGCTTCAGAAATGCTGTCTGCCACCTGGCTGGATCCAAAATCCCAACTGCTGTACCACGTGGCATCACAAATCCCTTGTTACCTGCCTCATACAAAAGCACTGCATCATAGTCACAATTCCAAGCAGAAACAAACTCATGAGACTACACAAACCCTCCTTCATGCCTCAGCATGGGCACAGCAGCTTCCAGGAATGAGTCTCTACCCTGAAGGCTGAGCAACAGCCACCCTCATATCATACCTGATGTGAGGTGGGGCAGTGGGCAGACAAGGCCATGCTCTGAAGCTGCACAAGGCAGGTGTGTTCCCCTGAGTCAGGGATGACAGTTTGGCAAGGACCTGGCTGTACTCATTTTTGGGAGCTGCAGGGTGTGATCAGCAGTGGTCATGATCCACCAACATCAGCCTCAGGTGTGTGAGGCCCTGTTGCCACCACCTCAGAGTGCACAGCACAGCTTGGCCGGTGCTGCATCTGTTTCCACAGGGTTCACTTGTGTTCCCAGCCAGCTGTGCCTGCCTAGGCCAGGGGGTAGCAGTGCCACCCTGGAAAGGACAAGCAACACACAGAATCCACCCCCTGCCCACAGAGCCCTTGTTAAAGGACACATCCTTTGAGGGGCTTAGGCAAACAGCTTGTTAAGCCTCACAAGTTCAGCCTCTAGTACTGTTTTCTGCAGGTTGTCACTTGCTGTTGAGGACAAAGGTGGGTTTTTTTTTGTTCTTCATCAATAGTTAAATCAGGTCTAATGTTAAGTATGTTCTGAAAAATAAACCTGGTTTCAGCATGCAATCCAAAGGGGTTTATTTACTACAGTCTACTAAAATAACATAAAGAAACTAATGCAAGGAGCATCCACAAATTTTAATAGACAGTGGTAGCTGTCAGTACACACAGAAAGAGGAAGCAAACATTTATGCTGAAACTGGTCTCTGTCATGCATTTCATTTGGTATCTCTATGTCTAAAACAGCACAGATGCTGATTCTTCCCTTCAGTTATAAACATTCTTAGTTTCAATAATCCAGAAAAGCTTTCCCTCAGTATACTTGTTCCAACTTATCTAGCAGGTGCAGGGACTACTGTCTTCACTTGGATTAGTTGAAAAGCCTCCAGAGAGCTGATAAAATAGGGAAGTTCGTATTCCTTTTCCAATCTATGAATAGAAATTGGGGGAAGAGGGTGAGATTTTCTATTTTTAAGACCAGGAAGGACAGAGGGAATATTAAACAACTGTCTGGATAAGTACATATGTCCTGTAGAAGGGCAGTATAGGTTTTCCACCAGAGACAAACACTCTATCTCTTTTACTTAAAGGGATTCTTAAATGAAGAAGAGATGAACTTTTCCCCATGTATCTCCTGTATTTAAAATACTTTTAGGTAACTCTTCTTCTGCAAATAGCACCTAATTTAAAATTGAAGTTTGGCTGCAAATTAGCTTTTTTTTTTTTTTCAACTGACCTGTCAACAGCAACAGCTTAATCACCCAAGAAATTGTGCTTACACTGCTTGGACAGAACAGGCAAGAATCCCAAGAACACTCTGGCTGTGTGTTTTACCTTCTGGGGAGAGATCAGCAGTTTTCATGAAACTTGGTGCAGAGCTTTTGAAAATCTTGGTTCTTTCTCCACCTACAACAACTTCAGGTCCGAGCAGGGAGACGAGGACAGCCAAGCTGTGCAGTGTGATCGCAACGATGGAGTCGCTGGTGTCGCGGAGGCCCAGCAGCACCTACACCAACAGCACACTGGTGTCACCAAGAACAGAGAACTCTGCTTCTCACTGCTTTCCCCTTGAAATGTTATCTTTGCAGCACATTTCAGTTCTCAGGAGATACTGGATGTTATCCTGTAGCAGAAAACCAGCTTTCCACTGTGCTACAAGCTAAAGAGTGCTCAGATAGGGCTCTGAGCAATCTGGTCTGGTGGAAGGTGTCCCTGCTCATGGCAGGGGGTTGGACTAGATAATCTCTAAGGTTCCTACCAACCCAAGCCACTCTGACTGAAATCCCATATTCTAGGCTGTACCATGTATTGGTTTGCTGTCCTTCACCTGTGGCAGTATGATGTTTTTCAGCTCGTCCCGAGAGAAGAGTTCCGCGTAGGCATGGATGTGAGACAGCAGCACCATCCGGACGTGCTCCTCATGCACCTCAAACAGCTTCAGCAGCACAGGGATCACGTGTGCCTGGAACAAAGCTGGAGACAGGAGGCAGCTGGTCTGGCTCTCTCCAGTTTGCTCTAGGGAAGAATGGTGAAGATGGGAAAAGGATTTTCAATGACAAGAGAGAGCTAACCATCACACCTGAGATCTACAGTGTCACCTCACTGCCAGCTCTGCTGCTGTGTCACCTGCCAACACAGCATGCTTGGGATGTCAGAGATGGGAGCAAGGAGAGGCAGCAGTATCAATGTCCACTGCTTGATGGCTCTGAACACTGAAGGTCAAACAGTCTCAAGGGATGTTTTGCTTGGCTGAAACACCAGTAGCTATTTAGGAACAACTTGAAGGAGAGGGGAGGGATAAAGCAGAGGCAGAGATACCTGGGGACAAGACACACTGAACACCTCTCACAGGGGAAAGGAGAGCAAACTGAGTGCCCTTAACAGGAGAATGAGTGCAATGGCAGAAGGGAAAGGGGCAGAGGAAAAGTAAGAAGAGGGATATACAGTGAGCCACTGGGAAAGCCTGGGGTGGCAGGGTGGGATGACACATAAACCTGGGAGAGAGTCCAGGCCTTTCCTAATTCTCCTCCCAGCATCAGCAGAGCAGTGGGAAGCACTGCAAACAAGGAAGCACAGATAACTGTCCTTTCCAGTTCTGTATGTTACAGTATTTGTTCTGGTTAAAGAAACACCACTATTCCCTTGATTCAATGAAACAACCTCTCTGAACTCATTCCAGACTTGTCAGTATTAATTGTGATGAGGAAGTGTTTAAAGGTCACCTTTCTTTGGGCCCAGCAGATGAGGAAGAAAACTCTTGACAGCTACAGGTTCTGCAAACACAAGCTGATTGAGTAGAAGAGGCACCAGCCGTGATGCTATCAGCTCCTCTGGCAAGCAATCTGCATTCCAAGAGACAGCAATTAGTATCAAGGCAGCCTTCCATGCATTTACACCTGTTTCCCTTAATAACACTTTCCCCTTTCTGTGTCTGACTCATCAAGAGACAGTGTCCCACTGCAGCCTCTCCCTCTGCCTGCACTGTGACCCACATGGACAAGGCTCTGCCCCTGCCTGAGGCTTCAGGCAAAGATGACACAAACCAGGAGCCAGAGACACATCCTGTAAAACCCGACACCCGGACCACAGGTTGTCACAAGCACATCCAGCTGGCACAGGAAGCTGCTGGGGCATCAAACTACCTCAGAGTTGGCATTTCCCATTAAGAGCTACAGTCAAAACTGCAGCAAAGAGTTCTCCTCTAACCCCACAGCCTGGTGCATCACAAGAACTCTCCTCCTGCTTTGGAAAAGGCTGTTCTACCTGACACACAAGAGAGGTTTCACTTGCACAAAGGGAATCCTATTTGGAAACCACTTCCATATGATAAATTTTAGAGGTGGCCAACAGAGTGTGGATATTTATTTAAGCCACAGAGTTTAATTTTGTGCAACTGCTCCTCCTTGTAGGATTGTAGCTTATAAAATACCAGTAAGTTACTACTTTTCTCTGGGCTTGGAGGAGACTAAGAGCAATCCTGCACATGCTGTGAGGATCCCCTGCCTGACACAGGGGCAACACTGCCCTATCTTTAAGCAAAGTGTTCATTCCCTCCCTCAGTAACCACTGCTGACACAGAGACAGTGGGAACTGTTCTGAATGCTCCTGCTAAGATTCTCTTTCTCCTCTCACTTCCTCCACTTAAGCCTCAAACTAAGGAAATCAAACCAGTGTAACAACTGATGTTGACCACAGAAGTACAAACAGGCAGGAAAACAGCTCTTTAAGAACACCAAGGCTCTTTTATACAGAGAATGGAAGAAAACCTCAGCTTCTTCCCTTTTCAGGTCCAGATAATGCCATGACTATACAGAAACTTCCCTTACAGAAAAATTACTGGGGACCACAACAGTGGCATTTCCTGCAGATGCAGGAGACATCCATACTGCAGCTGAGACATCCACTATAGGCAACAGCTTCACCCAGGCAGGGTTGGCACCACAACATTAATTCACCCAACATGCCTCTCTCCTTGGAAGTCACATCGCCCAACACCAAACCATTCACAAGGAATTGGGAAAGGAGGTGGAGAGTTTCCTCCTTGATGTGATTATTACTTTGGCTGGAGTACCCAAAATATTACAGAGCAAACAATGCTCAGTCAAAGCAATCAAAATCTGCCACCTGAGGAAGTACCTCTCTGGCCAGGAGCCCTCACAGGTCCCCCCACAGAAGCATTTCTGAAATGAGAAGCTTTCAGATTACAGTTCCTTCACTTACTTGAAAAATTCAGTCTTTTCCTCCTCAGACTTCAGTGTTAAGGACTTCAGAAAATTCACAACTTCCAGAAAATCATTCCTAAGCACAAAAACACAGGCTGTCAAGTGTGATCCTTACTGATGTTTAAACAACCCACAACAAAGAGAGTGCAAATCCCCATCCTTCATTCAGCAGAGAGAACTAGACAGAGGATCACTTACTTGAAAAATTCAGTCTTTTCCTCCTCAGACTTCAGTGTTAAGGACTTCAGAAAATTCACAACTTCCAGAAAATCATTCCTAAGCACAAAAACACAGGCTGTCAAGTGTGATCCTTACTGATGTTTAAACAACCCACAACAAAGAGAGTGCAAATCCCCATCCTTCATTCAGCAGAGAGAACTAGACAGAGGAAGTCAAATGCT